ACCGCCTTTGCATGAACTTCAGTGGGACTGTTGTTCAATCATGGCATGATACTTACACATGACAATTCTACTTACAACTGGACAGTAATCAGAAACCACTTGAATGGTCTATTCTTAAATAACACAATAGAATCTGACATTGAAACTTTATACAGCTTAGCCTCTGAAATAAAAAAGGCTTCTGAACAGGACTTGGATCCTGACAAAACAGCAGAGAAAATCATACGTTGGTTTGATAATGCCTCCAATTGGTGGGGGTCATTTGAGTATTGGATTATACTGATTGTTGTAGTATGCTTACTTTTATGCTGCTTGCCTATTATAGCCAGATGCCTCTTGAAAGTAATGATCTCCACGTTCAAAAATGTTATGTCTCAGCTACAAGTGCTGAAAGACACACACCCACAACGACGCCTTCTTTAAAACAAAAAGGGGGAATTGTTAGGGTGAATGTCTCATGGTCTCATGAGAGCTCTGTTGAGGGAACTTTCCCATGGGAGTTCTAGCTTCTATCAGTAGAAGCTGAGGGTCACAACATAGTTGCATGGCAAAAATAAGGAAGTCTCCCAGGACCTCTCCTTTGCTGACATGCAGCTCCCACGGTTGGTTCGGCTCTCCTCTCACTGGGAGATGAGTCCTGACACGAGCTCCAGCAGACCTGATGATTGGCTATCACAGGGGGATCACGCTTTGAACATGCATCACTAGGGCCATAAAAGACAGCTAACTGCACTCAATAAACGGAGCTTCTGCCACCTTGCTGTCTCCCGCCTCATCCATGCGTCTCTGGGTTACAGAGCATTGAGCTGGTCTCATGCTCATCACTGCAGCGGCCGCGTCAGTACACTGCCAAGCTAAGTGAACTATTTCCTCTATAATAAAGACAGATTGGCTGATGGACTGAAAGGCTGCCTCTGTCACCTGCTATACCACTCCCACTGGGCCCTCACTGCTGGCAGGCAATCCTACTGTACCTCCCTTGTCAGCTCGCTCTCCCACTTCCTACTTTGGGCTTCAGCTTTTCCAAACTTCCTCATACCTCATCGAGCCTCCCAGGTCTCCCCTTCCCCCAGTCTCTCAGCTGAGACCTCTGCCTCATATTTGAAAGAGAAGGCCACTCACCATGAGCTCCTCATCTCCCATCACTCAGGTGCTTCTGCTCCTCCTTCCCCTTCACCCCTTCTCCATCATGATGAGGTGGCCTCACCCCTATCACGGCTGACCCCTCTGCCTGTTTGAGTGATCTCCTTCTATGCAGTCTCTCCAACAGACTACCCCCTCTATTACCCCACTTCCTCTCTTATCTTCAGTCTCTCCCTGTCTCCTGGCTGCTTTCCTGCTGCTTTCTTGCTGCCTACAAACATGCCCACATCTCTCCATCCTCCCAGAACTCTCACCTGATCCATCCATCCCTGATAACTGTGTCCTCCATCTCTCCTTCCTTTCCTGGCTAACTTTCTGGAGAATTTCTACATTAGGGGTTTCACTTCCTGCCTGTTCACTCTTAACTCTCTACAGTTTGGTTTCTGACCCCATCATTCAACTAAAATTACCAGTGATCTCTCAATTACCAAATCCAGTGGCTTTTTCTGGGCCCTCATCTTTCTTGACCTCTCTGCCGTCTTGGACACTGTGGGTCTCTCTCTCCTCCTGGATACTCTCTCTTCTCTTGGCTTTCAGGGCATCCCCACCTTGGGTCTCCTCCTCCCTCTCTGGCTGCTCCTGCTTGGTCTCTGTTAGACGTTCCTCCTGCTAAACATGGGAGTCCTCCCAGGCACTGGCCTGGGCCCTCTTCTCTTCTCCCCCTATGCTACTTGCCTTGTGGGCTCCTCAGCTCCCATGTTATACAGTTATCACCTGTATGTTTATGATTCTCAGATCTACTCATCCTAACCTTTCTCCTGACCTCCAGTTACTCCAAATGCCGATCTGGATATCTTCAGCCGGATGTCTTTTAGACATCTTAACTTCAACATGGCCAAAACTCAGCTCACTGTCTTTTCTCCAAACTCTTCCCTTTCCCAGTTTTCTATTTCTGTCTAGGGTGCCTCCATCCTCTCTATGCCTCGGTGTGACAAATTGACAATCTTAAATGTAGACGAGGTCAGCTGTGAGGCTGCAGCTCTGAGACTTCACCCAAAAGAAATGTGGAGAGCAAAACCACCGATTCCTAGGGTCCATTATCATCCAGACCTTTTTGGACTCTTGTTACACACTGCCACCTAGTGTTACTTAAGTATATACTAATGAAGAAAAACATGGTACTATTATACTCAGCCTTTTAGGCACAAGTCTGCTAGAAACAATTTTATTTGACATTATTCTAAAGTCAAACCTATTATTTCTTAGAGAAAAATGTCCAGACTGACATATTCCCCTTTCCCCCTTAGGTCTCTCTACCCCGAGATGACTTGAGCTAACATTGATAGGAATCTTGAAGGAGAAAAAAATGTTAAAATATGGATTTGGGTTAACATTCCAAAACAGTCAGTACTCAGTTCCTTCCTAAACCACCCCCCCCCAAGGACCAAATGGCTAAATTCTAGACATAAATAGACAGCATTCCCCTTTTCTGCCAGCCTAAGGTATCAAAGTTTTGGGAGCTGGGTTTGCCACCAGTGAGGGGGCACACCGGAGTCAGGAAGGTCTGAGTTCAAATTCTGTTTCAGACGCTTCCTAGCACTTACCCTTCATCTATCTCAGCTTCCTCATGGGTAAAACGGGGATAATGATAGCATCTACCAACCAGGGTTGTTGGGAAGATCAAATGAGATAATACACGTAAAATGCTTTGCAAGTCTTGAAGGCTATGTAAGTGCTAGGCATTATGGTGATGCAGAACTTCCCATAAAGAAACTCCTTCTATCAACGCAGAGCATCACTTGCTATGAGAATCACTTGTCAGTGAATTTTCTGAGGGACCCGGCAGTGAAGTGACTTGCCCAGGGTCATGCAGGTGATACCTAGGGGGTCCAGGAATCAAATCCATCCCTCAGGCTACGGCCACAACCCATTCCACTGCCGTGCTTCCACAGCCACAGACCTCGCTGCCTTCCTGACCGCACTATCTCCGACTAGTCTGGCCTTTTCAAAAATCAGCATATTTGCCCTTTTCTAGACTGCACTGGGCCTCTCCTGTTCTCCGGGGATCACTTGGCAATCCCTTACGGTACAGGACAGTTATCCCAATACAAAAGGAAGCAGCTTAGTCTGACCCGGCCATTGAAATTCATCACGAGGAGCTCTATCCTCTCTCAGCACCTCTCACCTTTGTTGGATTTCTACCCTCAAAGGGAACAGAATAGCTAAGAGGGGACCGAGCAAGTTAGCGTTGCATACTAAGAAAGAAAGCCACCAGAGGAAATTCAGGGAACAAGGCGGGAAGGATTGAGAAAACGTTTGGGTGAAGACCAATGGAGGTAGGAAAAGAAGCATTCTGTGATTAGAGCCGTCCACGGCCCACGAGGAGAGAAGGGAGACGGATGAGAGTCTGGGACACACTTCACAAACACGGCACAGTTACATGATACTGTAACGATGGGAGACTTCAGCTATCTAGTCAGTCAGTCAGTCAACATTTATTGCCTACTGTGTGCCAAGCACTGTGCTAAGTGCTGGGGATGCAAAAAGACACAAAAGACAGTTCTTGCCCTCAAGGAGCTCACACTACAATGGAAAAAAAACAAGCAGAGACAAACAAACTATATTTAGGACAGATAGGAAATAAATAAGAGAGAGAAGGTATTGGAATTGTTGGGAAAGGTATTGGAGGTGTTGGGAAAGGCTTCCTTCTGGAAGATGGGATTTTAGTTTAACTTGACAGAAGTCAGGAAAACCAGTAGGCAGAGGTGAAGAGGGCAAGCATTCCAGGTATGGGGGATGGCCAGAGAGAATGCCAGGAGGTAAGGGGAGGAGGGTCTGGTTTGTGCAACCTGGAGTGGGTCAGAGTCACTGGAAGAGTATGTGTTGGGAAGTAAGGTGTAAGAAGACTGGAAAGATAGGATGGGGCTGCGTTATGAAGGGCTTTGACTGCAAAGCAGGGCTGGGTATTTGATCTTGGAGGCAGTTGGGAGCCAGACATCTTCTGGAGCACCCTGCCAAAAACAGCATCTAATAATTGCCTAGGTTGTCTTAACCATCATTTCATACTTTCAAAGGTAGAGACACCAATAATGGGAAATCCTATGCTCTATCTTATTTTCTCTAAAAGAAAAAACTGATTCCTGGGGTGGAAATAATGGGAACATTGGGCAGTAAATGACCATTTTCTCCTTGAGTTTGTGATAGATGAGGAGAGGAAAACTAGGCACAGACCGACATGCCCCCGATATTTAGGGAAAGCTTCCAAAGGGACTCAAAGAAAGGCAAAATAGGATCCCAGGGACTAAAATTCTAAGTCAGCTTATGAGTGTAATACATGTGTTATCCGGGGTAGTCTAAGCATGCCCAATTTGGATAACATGGAGGTGCCTTTGGAATATGTAAAGACCGCCCAGGTTACAACAAGAATAAAATTCTGAAAGCCCAAAGGGAAATAATGCCAACGAGGAAGAAAACCAGGAATTATCTGGATCCACTGCTGTGGATGCCCAGGGAATTAATTCTTCAGCCAACCAACTGACACAACAAAAAGACACGTACAGAAGATGTAAGCAAATGCAAGAAACAGAGGATGACAATCAGAAGAATGACGTGTCCAGAGTTCTAAACCTCAGAAAGAGGCCGGCCAGGAAAGCTAACGACATGGAAAAGGTTTATTTAAAAACAAAAAAAGCTAAATTGGGAATACGGAAAAACTGAGATTGTAGATCGCAGTTGTCGAAATAACTCATTATTTACACGAAAAAACGCACACGTCCCACTCCCTTAGCTGGGCGGGGTGTCTTGTTCTGGAAACGTGCCCCCGGGATCCACAGTGTCCGGCCCTCCGTGACAGCCGGCTGATGCTAAAACCGACCTTTTCTGCGATTGGTTTCAAGGCGTCTTGCTAACGTCGAAGGATGCTGCCTCGACGTGATCTGTCTGTAAAGCGAGGCTTTCCCTTATGCTCGGCCCAGATGCGCGGAGGGCGAAGACCTTTTCGCTGCACCTCCGGGCTATTGCTCACGACTGACCCTTTTCTCACAACACCCACGGACACTGGTGAGTAGTGACCCCCGTAGGGTCCATTTCCAATTTAGCTCCGTCCCCGGGACAGAGGCTTGGGGTCCGTGGGACAACAATTAGCAACAGAGAGGGGCTCTGGCGGCTGGCGGAGCCCCGAGACTTCCTAGTTGGGCAAGTCGCTTAGCCTCTGTGTGCCTCAGTTTCCCCCTGTGTAACTCAGGGATAATAGCAGGGCTGGGAGGCTGAGATGAGTGTCCAGCGCTTGGGGATGAGTTTTTCTCCCAGTCCTTGCACCTGGATCGGTGCTTTTTATCATTTCCGCGTGGAAGTGGATCTGCTTCGGCAGCAGTGACCTGGCCCACGAGTGCCCAGTGGCCCCAACCAGAGACAGGCGGGACCGCGCAGAGCTGGGAGACCTCAGGCGGTGAAACCTGCATCTTGGTAACTGACGTCCCTTTTCTATTCGCCCTGGGAGCGCACTAGGCATTGAGCGAGGCAGGGCTGGGGGGGGGGGGGGGGGGCGGAGCCTTCCTGGGACACGCGGGGCGGGGGCGGGGCCCCGCCTCCGCCCAGTGCACAGGCGCAGACGCTCCTGCTGGGGGAGAGGATCGCAGTGCCCTCTGGGAGATAGAGTCTGGGAACCGTGCGTCCCACCGCGCAGACTCCACTTCCCATAATGCTCACGCGACTCCGGTCCGTTTAGTTCCCAAGCGACGGAGCCCGCTGCCTTCTGGGAGTAGTAGTGCGGAGTCTCGGCGCGCGCAGTCGCAGTTGCCTCGCCACTGCCTGGTCGGGGGCTTGTTTCTGGTGGTCTTGGGCGGAGGTGCGCGCGTGTGCGCTCGTGTGATTGAGTCTGCGTGAGTGTGTACGTGTTTAGGAGGGGTGTGTGTAGATGCGTGCACCTACGTCGGTAAGTGGAGGAGGGGTGGGCGGGAGGAGGAGCAAAACGTGGGCGCTGGAGCCGGCTCGTCCAGCCCCTCCTGGTTGGTGCCCCAGCTTGTTGAGAGGCGGGTCCTTGTGCGTCACTTCCGGAGGAGCTCTGTGAAGGGTCGGTTCAATGACTGATAGGGGGTGGGGCAAGGGGGGAGGAGCGGTCCGGTGACGTCACTGTCGCGTTGGCCACTCGGCGCCTTGAGATAAACCTAGTGAATTGCAGGGGATTCCACCAGGGTCTTCCCCTCCAGCCGACACTGGCACCTCGATGTGGCATTCTGGTTGAATTTGGTTGAAGTCATTGAAACCTTTCAAAACCTCCCCAACTATACAGGCACCTAATTGAGAGCAATAAAGCCCTGGACAAAGCGTGCGCAGACAGAATAAACGGGTCGTCGGCCATGTGTTGGTCTTGGAAAGAGGGGGTGAGGCAGGGGCCGGGAGAGAGACGGTGAAGATGCAGGGGTTCCTAGGGTAAATGGAGGGCAGCTGAGTGACCACCCTTAGACGGCATTAGCCTCGATCCCCGTAAAGCTGCAGGCAAGGTCATTCACCTGCGGAGGAGGGGCGAGGTGGGGCGGTGAGCTTGAGCTGTGGACACAGCCCATGTGCCTCCAGAAGACGGACGAAAGGACTGCCTGCAGAAGGGAGGGTCCCCGGCAGCCCAGGCACAGCGGCGGAGGGCTGGGCCGGGCCGAAGAGCTTTTGGGTGAGGGGGTGTGGGGGCTTGGTTCTCATCCTGACCCTTCTCCTTGCAGCTTGCACTTCTGAAGCCTCTTTCCGCCTCCAGCGTAGAAGCATTGAGAAGGAGGACGGAATGACTTCTGGGCCGCTGGGTGCCGGGTTCCAGGTAAGTCTGGGCGTGCACCTCCAGGGAATAATGGCTCCTTTCCTTATCATCGATGTCCTTGGCTGACCCAAGTCTCCCCAGGGGTCTGAGCATCAGCTGTGCTCTGCCAGCTGGTTTTGGCCATTCTGAATGATAAAGTAGACCCCAGTAATGGCCGAAATACAGCCTCGTTACCTTGAAAACTTCCTTTCTTCCTGACTCACCTATTTCTGAAACTCCTTTATTTTGTGCAGCTTTTCAGAGTCTTCATTGACACGCTATTCTTTTATATTTCATTGCTGTTGTATTTTTTAGGCTCTATTTCCCTCCCTCAACGCCCCAAAATTTCCCCTCCATGTTAATGCAGAAATCTGTCTCTTGTAACATTACCATGGTCACATCAAGCAGATCCACATGGTAGCCGTGTCAGAAAATGTCTGTCTCTTTATCTGACTGCAGTCCATCAACTCCATCTTTAGTCCTCTGGAGTCATGGCTGGTCAGTGTGTGCATCAGAGTTCTGAAGACTTGAAGGATTGTTTTTCTTTACATTGTTGCAGTCAGTTAGTAAATAATCAATTAGTAGACATTTTTTAAGCACTTACTTTGTGCCTAGATGCTGTGCTAAGCACTGGGGACACAGAAATACAGACCCTGCCCTCAGTGAGCTTACAATATAATGGGGGAGACAACAGGCAAACAAATACAGTTAGTTATCCCTTCCACATTATGGGGGTTAGGGGCATGGTGCCCCCATGATCTGGAAAATCTGTGTAAAATTTTTTGGCCCTCTCTTCGTACCAGAGAAGAAATTAGAATTTTTTCTTTTTCTTTTATGGGGTGTTTACAGTACCTTATTGTAAAATTTGGGTTGATATTCTATAATACTTATAAATTAATAATTACAAGACTTACAAATTATAAAATACATATATTTTATGCATTTCTGAGTTTCTAAACTTTATCTATGTCATCTGTGGCTTCCACAAACCTCCCCCTAAATCCTCATTTAATTTTTTATGCTGACCACGATATAGCAAAACCAAGATGGGGAAAGTCACCATGTGGAGAGGATAACTGTGTATGGAAAACACGGTATATAAAGGTTAAATAGGAAAGAACTGAGGGAAAGCCCTGGAATTTAAGAGGGGCTGGGGAAAGCTCCCCGTAGACGGTGGAATTTTAGCTGGGACTTAAAGGAAGCCGGGGAGATCAGGAGTTGGAGTGGAAGTGGGAGAGCATCCCAGGCATGGGGACAGCCAGAGAGGATGCCCAGAGCCAAGAGATGGGATGTTTTGGAAATAGCCAGGAGAATGCCAAACAGAGCACTTTGTGTTTGAGCCTGGAGGCCAAAGGGAGCCCCTGGAGTTTATTGAGTAGGGAGATGACGTGATCAGACTTTGATTTAGGAAAATCAGCGTATTGGCTGAATGGAGAACGGACTGGGGTGGGAACAGAGACCTGAAGCCGGCAGACCCTCCCCCCACGCCTCAGCGGCTGTGGTGCCAGTTCAGACGGGAGGTGATGAGGGCCTGCCCCAGAGTGGGGCAGGAGACAAGGAGAAGTATTCGAGAGATGTTGTGAAGGTGAAATGGGGGGGATGGTTTAAGAGAGACTGAGGAGGCCAGGATGACCGGGAGGGTGGGGGTACCCTCTACTGTCACAGGGAGCTCTAGGGGCAAAGATGAGTTCTGTTCTGAACATTTTGAGTTCAAGATGTCTGTCGGGTATCCAGTTTGAGATGTCAGAAGGGCAGTTGTAGACGTGACGTCGGAGGTCAGCAAAAAGATTAGGGCGGGATAGGTAGATATGAGAATCATCAGCACAGAGCTGGTCATTAAATCCACGGGAACTGCCGAGGGAAGGGCACAAAAGGGAAGAGAACCTCGGACAGAGCCCTGTGGGACGCCTGTGGTTACAGGCGCGACCCGAAGGAGGCATGTGACGGGCGCCTTTGAGCCAGTCACGTCCTGGTCAAGCTCCTGGAGGAGATGTTTCCACTCGCCGTTACTGCCTCTCTTCACTTGCTTGTAAACCTTCTGCACTGTGGCCGTCAAAACTACTCAACTGACGCTGCTCTCTCCGGTTTCTTCAACGATCCCAACGACTTGGGTGGGGACTCGGCATGCTTCAGAAAATCCTTGGAAAACTGGGAGTCTGATGGAGTTTTAGATTTCTCTAACAAATCCGGCAGCTGCCGCGGATAGAATCAGGAAGTCCTGAGTGCAAATGCGGCCTCAGATACTTGCTAGCTTCATGGAGTCCCTTAACCTCTGTCTGCCTCGGTTTCCTCATTTGGAAAATGGAGGTTGCTATAAGGATCAAATAAAATAATATTTATGAAGTGCCTCCTTGTTCTTAACAAATCTTTGTTGACCGACTGATTGGGTAGTTGAAGTTCTCATGGTCACAAGCGTCATGCGACTGTGTTTGTGAAGTGTTTTCTGCCCCCTTATCTCTATCTTCTTTCTGTTCTGGCGGGCCTTGGAAGCCTCCAACGACAAGATTGCTTCATCTCAGTTTTCTCAGAAAAGTGAGAGGTGAGGGAGGGAGCTGCCTGAAGTTTTGAGCACAGGACAGTGAGGAGTGAGATAGGGAATCAATTAGAGAGGACTGAAAGGATTGCCTTGTCACGGTGAAGGTCCAGGGAAGTGAGGTGAAAATGGCCCAGTGTGGTTGTGTGACTTCCTTCAGCTCCACTGAGCAGCTCACGACTAGGAGGGAAGCAGAGGGATGGTGGGAGTGCTGTAGGACTGCAGTTTGGCATGGGACAAGGGAGCAACGGTCTGGAACAGTGTGGTGTTGAAATGGCTAATAACAGGGTTGAGTTTGGGAGGAGAGTTATGCCTGAGAAGATCCTGAGGGCTGAGACGGTGGACAGAAGACAGGTTGAGGAGATGAAACGCTGGGAGGTTTTACTTAACTCAGATAGAGGAATGGTGCATTCTTGACCCAGGAAGCAGGACACTAGTGGACATGGGGGAGAAGCAGGGCATGACCATCCCTGTGTGTGGCTTCTGGTTGTCAGGAAGTGGGAGGTTGTGGAGTTTAAGGGCTCACCAACATTCATGTTACAGTGGCCCAGTGCAGGGCAGGAGTTGGGGAGGTGAGCGAGATAGGGAACCAGGTGCTCCATTTTTTGTGAAGGAAAGAGAATGATCTGTATAGGGTAAAACATTTTAATAAAACCACCTTCAAAGGAGAGAGGTTTGCCAGTGATGACTAAGGAGGGTCTGGACGCGGCAGTGAGGAGAGCGAGGCGCTTTGCCTCCTGTGACAGGGGAGTGTATGCGGGTGTGTTGGGAGGGAGGGGGCATGGAGAGGATGGCTAGGGAACCAGGGTCTTCTGTGGCAGCGAGGCCTCAGCAGGAGCAAGCCGATGAGAGGAGGAAGTCCAGGGTGAAGTCGCTCTGGAAGGGCTGTCCCAGAGGTCGCAGGTCGCATGGAAGGTCAGGCCGGGTTGGAGTACGATGTGGACGGGAGCGTTGAGTAGGATGGAAATAAGAGGAGGGAGGTTGAGTGGGGTTTGGGAATAGGTTATTTTAGGTGTTAAAGGAGGAGTAAGAGGCGGGGGAGGGGGAGTTTGCCCACCCCAGAGGGAGTATTGGGTGGCAGATGAGTTGTAATGTTTCCAGTCTGCAGGGGTGGTAATGCTGGACAAATGCCAGGGGTCAAGTCGGGTCATCAAGCATTTATTAAACATCCGCTGTATGCCCAGGGTGCTTGGCCTGCTCCTCCAAGCGGGGTGGGTGGGGCAGGGCACTGGAGAGGGCCTGGTGAACCCCAGGAGGGCAGGGTGCCATTGTGGTTGGAAATGAGAACCTTGACCCATGTCCTGCCTTTTGAATAAATCTGCCTGGGTGATGGTGAGAAGGAATGACAGCGATTGCCTTCTTACAGCTAATTAGAGATTAAGTACTCATTGTGAAGGGATGAATGCATTAATTGTGTGGCTTGAGGCTAGAAAGGCAAAGCACAGCTTTTCTTGGGTTTTGCTTTGAGAAATAATAGGTCACAGTTAATCCGAGCAGTGAAGGAGGCCTCCATGCTACTGAGTCTGGAACAAAGAGACACACAGTACTGTAAGCAGGCACCTAGAACCTCATTACTGTGAGAGCCCCTCCCTCTGTGTCCTGTCTGAGCAGGAGTGTGTCTGATGTTTTAGGAATCAATAACCTTACGGGATGTGGCCGTGGACTTCACCCCAGAGGAGTGGAGATGCCTGGGCCCCGCACAGAGGGCCCTGCACAAGAATGTCATGCTGGAGAACTTGGAGAACCTCATTTCTTTGGGTAAGGACCACTTTCTCCAGCTTTCTCCAGGGTCTTTTTAAGGCTGTAGTTTTGCTGTTTCCAGGATGCTCAGGCCAAAGCCTGCTGAAGCCCCTGAGAACATTGTGCCCCTAGCAGGGGGTGGGTGCCATGACCTTGCTTGTTTTGTGAGCCCAAACCCGATCTGTGACCTTGGAGCGCCATCCAGGCCTGCTTTAGAAATCTTTACATCACCTTGAGCCTTTTTAGCTGCTCCCTTCTCTGTGAGGATCGTTGAATTCTGAGGTGACTTTTTCTGAGGTTTTCCAGAACCACTCCCCCTTTCCTGCCTTCCATTTCTGTCTCTCTGAGCAGGGCTTCCTGTTTCCACACTGGAAGTGATCTCCCTGTTGGAGAGAGGAGGAGCACCAGGGATGCCCAAGGCGGTGGACCGCAGAAGGTTTTGGCCAGGTGAGTGAGGGAACAGTGGAGGTGGGGAGGGGAGAGAGTCATGAGTAAGAGTGCAGCTGGTCAGTCAGGCAGGTAACCGGTGCCTTTAAAATGTGCAGCTGAGCCTGGCTGGCCAGCCCTTCTTAAAGGCCCTGAGGCCTACGGAGAAGACTTTGGGCCGCTGATCCTCCTTGGTCCATTGCTGTGGTCTCCTGACCTTCAGCTCTGCCCTCTCCTCTCTCAATTGCCAGAAGAGAGGTTTCTTGATTTTGGTTGTCTCCATCAACAAAAGCAAACATTCATGGACAGAAACAAAAGTGTGTGTTCACTTACCGAGGTGGCAGGAAGCGCTCTGTTTGCCCGGTCTCTGTGGCCGGCACATTCCTGCCCACCTCCCCCCAGCTTGGTAAATGCTAATCGACAATTGCTGACCCTTTTTCCCTGGTGGGTCTGTTACATGGTGCCGATGGTATCATGGTAAGCCTCTTCCATCGCTTATGTGGCCATTATTTCCAGGTAGCTATTCCACTCTCCCCTGTGGGCAGTCTTATAACTCTTGTTCACTTTTATATATCTAAGAAGGTATCTTGGAGCTGTTTTCCTTGATATCTTTACAATCATTGGAGAGTTTTTAGGTGGTTATTGTCAATTTTGAGAATTTCTTATACAGATAGTTTGACCAATTATCTCCTAGAAAGAGATGTTTCTCTTTTAATTTATCTTACTTCCTTATTGCTTTTAGATGACATTTTTTGTATGGTCCATTAAGATTTTCCCCCGATTCCTTTGTTCTTTAAATATAATTTTTATGTGATCTTCCATCGACAAAGAAGGGGATTCAGATATATGCCACAGTCTTGTAAAACAAATGAGAAACATGAGTGTGCAAGAGTGAAAACAAAAAGCCAAGGGATTTTAAATGACTGCAATGTCTGTAACGTGTGTGCACACGTAGCCACCCTCCGTCATGGTAGTCCCCATCTGGTCGCCCTTGGTTTTTGTGGTCCCGGGTTTGCTTTGCTGTGGACGTAGAGCTGATTTGTTACTAATCCTGTTCTGTTCTGCTACCTCGTTGTAGTGACACGTGCATTCCTCTTCTAGATCTCCTTTTTTCAGTCTGCCCACTGCACACACTATGTCTTCCTATGTTTCAGTGAATTCTTTGTTTTTTTCCAGTCAATCAACAAGCGTTTGTTAGTGATGATAATAGCTGAAACGTACATAGCTCTTCAAGGTTTAAAAAGCACTGCACATATTAATTCATTTATTTATGGATAAAACGAGAATGTCTTTGTGAGCCACTTTGCCAACCTCAAAGTGCATATAAATGCTGGTATTCACAACAGCCTGTGAAGTGGGTGCTGTTATCAGCACCATTTTATAGATGAGGAAATTGAGGCTGAGAAAGGTTAAGCAGCTGGCCTGTTCACAAACAAGTACCTTAAGGCAGGATTCAAACTCAGCACTTCGTGACTCCCAGGTCCAGTACTCTATGCCACCTGTTTGTTGTTCAGCTGTTTTTCAGTTGTGTCTGACTCTCTGTGACCCCATTTGGGGTTTTCTTGACAAAGATACTGGAGTGGTCTGCCATTTCCTTCTCCAGCTTATTTTACAGATGAGGAAACTGAGGCAAACAGGGTTAAGTGACACACAGTAACCTGTCTGAGGCCGGATTTGAACTCAGGACCATGAGTCTTCCTGACCCCAGGCCTAGCACCCTATCCACCATGGCACCCCCTACCTGCCCGTATACCAGCTACCTGCCTGCTAATAAGAGCTCCTGTGTGCCAAGTATTTCACTGTGTCCTCAGATGCACAGACAAGAATGAAACTAGCCTCGTTCTCAGTGCACCTACATTCTGATGGGGGAGGGAACATCTCTAAGGAGTTTCAGAGTAAATTCAATAAATACCAAGTTGTTAACTGTATGGTTAACATTGGGGGAGCGGGAGAACGCAAGAAGACGTGACTGAGAAAGGTAGACAAGGAGGCGTTTGGGTTGAGGCTTGAGGAAGGGAGGGGTACTGTGGCCCAGAGGCCGGGAGGGGACACACACATCAGAAGCATGGGAGCTGGCCCGGGCAGAGCCATGGTGATGGGAAATGGGTCTGAGGACAGTTCTCCTATTGATAGACACCCAGGGTATTTGCGGGGCATCTAGGGGACACAGTGGATAGAGTCCTAGCCTGGAGTCAGGAAGACTCCTCTTCTCGAGTTCAAATCTGGCGTCAGACGCTTAGTAGCTGTGTGACTCTGGGCGAGTCACTTAACCCTCTTCTCCTCAGTTTCCTCATCTGTAAAATGAGCTGGAGATGGAAATGGCAAACCACTCCTGTATCTTTGTCAAGAAAACCCCAAATGGGGTCAGGGAGAGCTGGACGTGACTGAAAAACAATACAGCAGGGTATTTGGAGAGTTCTTTTTGGTATAAAACTGGTATTTTTGTAGAATCAAATCTAGTCTAAAAATGCTTCCTTTTGATAAATAATATTCTGTGTCTATATTTGTGATAGGTCTATCACTATATAATTTTTAAAAATTAAAGATGTTGCTGTAACATGATTTTAAATTTCATACTTAATACAGTTATTTTTAATTTTTACCTCATCATCCTCTTTCCCTAAAATTTCTTCCTTTTAAGATTAAAATATTGCAAATCTCCATAAAAGTAATAGGTATTTCATGGACTCACAGATTTTTAGAGTTAGGATGGCTTTTCCCTTTTGTTCTGATTGTTCTTTCACAGCATGACTAATGTGGAAATGTGTTTAACATGATTATTCATATACAGGCTATGTCAGATTGTATGGCATCTTAGGGAGGGGGGAAGGGAGGAAGGAGGGAAATTTAGAACTCAAAATTTTATAAAAGTGAATGTTGAAAGCTAAAAAGAAAGAAAGAAAAAGAAAAAAAAAGAATTTTAGAGTTGACCTTTTAGAGGTCAAATTTAGAATCCTCTGTGCCTCGTGCCAGGAAATGGTCATTCAGTTTTCATTTGAAGTCCTTCAGCAAGGAAATCCCATTACCTCCCAAGGCAACTCATTCCACTTTTAGGGAACTCTAAGCATCAGGAGATTTTTCCTTATGGAAGTGGAAATTTGCCACACTATGATTGTACTCATTGCTCCTATATCTGCTCTTTGGGCCAAGCTTTGTGGTCAAAGCTGACACGTCTTGTGCCCGGCAGCCATTCGGGTGATGGAGGGCGGCTACCATATAGCTTCTTAGGGCTTCCCAGCACAGTCTGTGTTAGCTCCTTCAGCCGATCCTAAATCATGTGGTTTCAGGGCGATTTACCATGTCACTTGCCCTTCTCTAGCTCTTCTCTGGCTGTCAATGTCCTCCCTCAGGTGAGGGGCCCAGAAGCGAGCACGGGATTGTGGTTGTGATTGGAGAAGGTCTCTCAGTCACCTCTTGCCTTCTTCGCCCGCTGCCTCTCGAAACAGCCCAAGCTCACGCTAATTCTTTTGGCTCTCACGTTATTCCATATGTGTATGTGTGTGTGTGTATAATATATGTATATGTATCTATCTGTCTATATAATATATAACACACACACACATAAAATATGAACTCCTGTTAAGCTTGCCATTCATGAAAATCTCTAGATAGTTTTGGATGAACTAGCGAAGCCTCCCCATTGTCTTATATGTGAAATGGAGTTCTTGAGCCCAACTATGGGACTTTACAAATTTTACCTCTAGTAAATTCCTTCTTCTAGGGTCCAGCCTACTTTTCCAGCCCATTGGGATCTTTTTGAACCTCTACCATCTATTGTGTTAGCCATGGCTCCAAGTTATGTGTCATTTGTAAATTTAATCAATTTGCCATATATGCCTTCACTCAAGTGTTGATGAAAACAAGCTTTTATTGAATGCCAGTTCCTTATTTTACTGAATAACAATGTCTTAGATCTCTTAATTTTCAGCATATCATAATTAGCTTCTATTATTTCTCGTCTGTGCAGAAAACTTCTGTGTGTTAATACTAAGCATTTATTAAATGCCTACTATGTGCCAGGCACTGTTCCGAGCACTACGTTCTACTGATATTACTTAATATATCAGGTTTTTTCTTGATTGCTTATAAAATCACGTTCTTGTAATTGGAAAGTTGAAGGCTAAAAATAATGTGTCCGAGGGAATTCATGGGACTCATTATTTTGCATCCTACAAATTCCCTATTTGTAATCTGTCCCTTTTTTTTCTTATTACCTTTGGAAAATTTTATTGTATGCAATCCAGAAATGTATAGGTTAGATTGTCCTTACTGTTTTTGGGATGTCCGATGATTCTTAAATTTTCTCTACTTTTTTTGCCCTTCCAGAAGCATCAGTTTTGTTTGCATAAATTTAAAATTGTTTTCCATTTGGGCAAGATTCTGAGATTGTGGAATTCATTCTTCTGTCCTCCAGGAGATAATTCTGTTTTGTTGAGGGCATTGTTTTTAATGACATCTAGTGGCTTTAGGACCCTAGAATTCATCCTGGCAGCTGGGGGCCCTGTGACTATTTCTTCATCTACCTTTGTCTTCAGTTCCTTCTTGACAATATTTGTTCTAAATCCAAAATGCAAATTAAGCATTTCTGAAGATGGAGGAAACAGAATCCTGGATTTGGTGTAAGTAGTTTCCTTTCCCTTAGCACTGAGAGTAATCATTATTGACACTTGTTTATTTCTTTCAGATTCCATTAGTCAGGAAACTAGATATGAAACCAAGGACTCAACTCTGACTCAGGGCATTTGCATGGGATCAGCCAAGGAAAGAGGACTGAAGCTGGACTCTGGCCTCCCGAAATGGAAGAACCTGGGGAAGGTGATGTCAGGTTACAGAAATGGAAGGGTAATCAAGAGAGAGAACCCAGTCAAGTAGCAAAGAATTACAGATCATCTTTTAATAAGGGGCATCGTCCTGAATGGAATTCATTTGGGAAAAATTTCAGTTTCAGGTCAATCTTTTTTCCACAACAGAAAGCAGCAATGGGAAAAATTTTCCATAAATATGATAAACTTGGAAAGAGTTCCAGTGTCTTTTCAGATGTAATTAAATATAATACAGTCTTCTCAGGGAAGAATTTTTATAAACCAAACATGTGTAGGAAGCCCAACAGCTCCCACTCAGACCTCATTAAATTTCATAGGACACATACCAGTGAGAAGCTATATAAATCTAATGAATGTGGAAAAGCTTTTGGGTGTAATGTATGTGGTAAGATCTTCAGCCAGAGAGGACACCTTACAAGACATTGCAGAATTCATGCAGGAGGAAATTCATTTGAATGTAATGAATGTGGGAAAGCCTTTAGCCAGAGGCAATACCTTATTGCTCATCAAATAATTCATAATGGAGAGAAACCTTTTAAATGTAATGAATGTGGGAAGACTTTCAGACAGAGGGGAAAACTTAGCGAACATAAGACAATTCACACTGGATGTGAACCTTTTTGGTGTCATGAATGTGGGAAAGCATTCAACCAGAGGGGACACTTTACAAGACACCAGAGAACTCATAGTAGGATAAAACCTTTTGAATGTAACGAATGTAAGAAAGCCTTCAGCAGATTGCAAAATCTCACTGAACATCAGCGAATTCATACTGGAGAGAAACCCTTTGAATGTAATGAATGTGGGAAAGCCTTCAACCAAATGGGAATCTTTATTGGTCATCAGATAATTCATACTGGGGAGAAACCTTTTGAATGTGAGGAATGTGGGAAAGCCTTTAGCAAAAGAGCCAATCTTACTGAACATAAGAGAATTCATACTGGAGAGAAACCTTATAAATGTGGTGAACGTGGGAAAGCCTTCAGCCAAAAAAGAGTTCTTATTGATCACCAGAGAATTCATACTGGAGATAAACCCTTTGAGTGGGATGAATGTGGGAAAGCCTTCAGCCAGAGGGGGCACCTCACTCGACATCAGACAACTCATGCTAGAGTAAAACCATTTGAATGCGATGAATGTAAAAAAGCCTTCAGCCAGAGACAGTATCTTATTGCTCATCAGAGAACTCATATTGAAGAGAAACCCTTTGAATGTCATGAGTGCGGGAAAGGTTTTAGCCAGAAAGGGAAACTTATGGAACATAAGAGAATTCATACAGGAGACAAACCTTTTGGGTGTAATAAATGTGGGAAAACTTTCAATCAGAGAGGGTGTCTTAGTAGACATCAGAGAACTCACACTGGAGTGAAACCTTTTGAATGTGAGGAATGTGGGAAAGC